AAGGGTTTATGAAAATTTTCAAAAAACGGAAAAAGGGTTTATTATACGTTGCACTTTCATCAACCCTTAAGGTTTAGTATTCTACGAATTTTTTTTACAGTGTACAGTGGTTGGCCCCAACGGGCGATAAGCTTACGGGACATCATGAATCATGAATCAGAGGCTTATTTATTCTGCGCACCCCTTATTTTATCTTCGTATAGAATTATGTTTCAATGATAATAATAGAAGCCAAAATTGTCCTCAAATTAATTAGTTTGGAATGAAGGAGAGAATTAAAAAAAACAATAACTCGTCAAACGAGACAGACGGACGTATGCCATTGTGTGTATGCGGCAATATATACCCGAGTATGCCTGTGCAGTAGACAAGAAAAAAAGAAAACATGAGCTATAGTTCATTAGAATTTTGTCTAACGATATTCTTTATGAAATTTTTGGTTATTTGTCTCCGATTGATGCTGTTGAATCGCTTTTTTCGTTGAGTAAACGTTTATCCGGAATCATAGTAAATGAATATTTGTGGCACATTCGTATTGGTGATTCAACAATGTCATTATCAATGTTCAATGATCATTCTCAAAACGTCTTGCAATTAATAGGAGGTCGTGTTGTCTCATTACGTCTGATATTAATCAATGTTATCAATGGATGGCGACTCATTTCATCCTCTCTTCGATCCCATTCCACAACATTCCTTCAACGTCTACATCTGATTGACATTGAACCACATGAATTTGATAAATTATTACGAAGTCAGTTAATAAAACAAATACATAATTTATTAGTCGATATAACATCATCTAATCGATTCAATTGTCTTCAAATTGAAGGAGTTTATCCAGTTAAAGTAAGTAAACAAATGTAATTCACCTTTCTTATGTGTAAACAAAAATCATTGATATAATCCCAGGTCAATGATTCCGGAGGACGGATACTGTAGGAACCGGCCGGAAAGATGCGGAAAAATCACCGTATCTGGCCGGAAAGCATGGGAAAGCACTGGAAACTGGAAGCAGTATTCCAGTTGGAAGTTACCGGATTTTTTTCCTGTGGATTCCGGTCAGTTTCCTGTGTTTTCCGGTCAGTTTTCTGTGTTTTACATCTGGAAGTTGATCGGAATCTACAGGAAGAAAATCCGGTAACTTCCAACTGGAATACTGCTTCCAGTTTCCAGCGCTTTCCTGTGCTTTCCGGCCGTTTCCCGCCGTACGTCCACGACCTGGGATTATGCAATTCTTTTAGTTATTTCATAAAAGGTGTGCTCAAGAATGCCTCTCCTCAAAATTTGCCGACTTCCATTTAATCATGCTGTTAGGATTATGAATCTAATAAAAACATTTTCATTAGGATATCGAATGACTTTACCAAATTTATTAAATATAAATCAACTTCGTACATTCAGTATGATATACTTGCATATACTCCTTTCTATCCTTTAACATATGTGTGTATTGGAGGTGTGGGTGTTTACTAAGAGAAAATAACACCTACGCCCTTACTGTATCGTCTTTTGTGTTCTTTCTGGTCCTTCTCTCGCTCTCCTTGTTCTTCTCTACATTTTTCTATTAGCAACATTGTTAACATATGGACGATGTTTTAAAAGTCCTTTCGGCATTAATCCCTCCTTCAACAAAGCCTAATAAACAAAAATCACAAATACAATTAATAAAATATATTATAATGCATTATTATTAAAAACTTTAAAAAATGTTTTTCGTTTTTTTTCTTGCAGCATCGCCATTTTTATTACATAAAAATATACTATCAAAGCGGATCAAAAACAGCATTACAGTTACAATTAAAAATGCATTAATAAAAGGAAAAAATTAAAACGTAATATTATGCAGTATTAGAAAAATATATACGTATATATATTAATATACTGTTAAAAATTAAAATTATCAGAAAATCAAGAAATACGTCATCATTCAAGAATATATGAAAGATTCTTTGTCCTGGCAATATGGAATTATTTTGATCTAAAAAACAGGTTGAAAACGCTTAAAAAAGAAATCAATTCGAAAAGCCCCGCTTTATTTATATTAATATTCTTCTTACTATTTCTCTACCTTTCGTTTTTTTGTTTTTTCCTTCTATTTTGCTTGATTTATCTTTTACTTGAGTACCAATATAATAAAAATAGTTTAAAAAAATAATAAAAAATACAAAAATAATCATTATTTATTTTGTTCACTATTATTCTGATTCATTATTATCTATTACAATAAAGAGGCGTGTTGACTAGTTAAAATAAAAAGAATATGAGAAAATTTCATAATAATTTTATAATAAATTAATACTATAGAGAAATTTATTTTTCTAACAATTGAAAAGATAAGTTGATTTCATTAGAATGAGTAATTTATTATCTACTTTCTGATTTAAAGAGTTTCTCTTTTTTGTCACACTTCTTTTTGAGAATTTCAATGGTGAATAGACCATTTAGTTAAATCGATTAATTCTTCTTGTCTATGAATATATAAATTTTTATCATTCAAAATGACAATAAAGTGGTTCTGTAATAATATCAAATGATAAACTACAATATGAATCAAAACCATTTGTACCAACTTTAATAGTTATTCGGTTAATGTTTTAATATGAACGATGATTTGGCTATTGTTTTTTCATAATTCCCTCTACTGAAAGGAGCAATGGCGGGCCAGCGTCCCAAATATACGTATGGCAATAAACTCTAACGTCTTACTACGAGTTTGAAAAAACGTTTGCAACTTTGTGAAAATACTGCACAACTATGTATATTTATGCTGGAAACGAGACATTTTTTCTTTCTTTTTTTTCCGTTGAAATAAATAAATTAAAACATCATTTAAAAAAAGATTTATTTTAAAAAAACCATTGCTGTTTCGTCTTTCTGTGCAGTGTAATCGGTTACTACTTGATATATTCCCCTGGCCACAAATAGTTTTACACGATACTTTTAATAAATCATCACTATAAATGAACATTTTGAGAAAAGTAATTATATATTCAGGTAGGGCGTGGAGTTCTCTGAAACATGTATATG